TTCCATCCAGCCTGGCCTTGAACACCTCCAGGGATGGGGCATCCACCACTTCTCTGGGCAACCTCTTTCAGTGCCTCACCACCCTCACATGAAAACGTTTCTTCCTGATATCTAATCTAAATTTACCCTCTTTCAGCTTAAAATCCTTACGCCTTGTCCTATCACTACACTCCCTGATAAAGAGTGCTTCCCCACCTCTCCTGTAGACCCCTTTAAGTACTGGAAGGCTGTTATAAGGTCTCCCCGGAGCCTTCTTTTCTCCAGGCTGAACAACCCCAACTCTCTCAGCCTGTCCTCACAGGGAATGTGCTCCAGCCCTCTGATCATCTTTGTGCCCCTCCTCTGAACTTGCTCTAACAGGTCCATGTCCTTCCTGTGTTGAGGACTCCAGAGCTGGATGCAGTACTCCAGAGAGGATCTCACAAGAGTGGAGTAGAGGGGGAGAATCTCCCCCCTTGACGTGCTGGTCACACTTCTTTTGATGCAGCCCAGGACACAGTTGCCTTTCCGGGCTGCAAGTTCACATTGCCAGCTCATGTTCAGCTTCTCATCTACTAGCACCCCCAAGTCCTTCTCTTCAGGACTGCTCTCAATCCATTCTCTGCCCAACTTGTATTTGTGCTTGGGTTTGCCCCAACCCATGTGCAGGATCTTGCAATTGGCCTTGCTGACCTTCATGAGGTTCGCATGGGCCCACCTCTCAAGCCTGTCAAGGTCCCTCTGATTGGCACCCCTTCCCTCCAGCGTGTCAACCGCACCACACAGCTTGGTGTCATGGGTGCACTCAATCCCCTTGTCCACGTCTCCCACAAAGATGTCAAACAACACCAGTCCCAATACCCACCCCTGAGGAACTCCACTCGGCACTTGTCTCCAGTTCCAGAAACACCAGCCAGATTCCATTTGTAGTAGCAATTTTCTCAGGAAGAAATTAATCATAATTCCTACTAGATCCTTGTGCAGGTTTCAACACAAAGTAGTGCTTCCTGATGCATAAAGTAATAACTTCTCCTGGCGTTCTAGATTCTTATGAAACAGGTAGTTGCAGGAAAACTGAGCAATGATGGAAGAAAACTACCACTGCAAGAAGAAAAGCAAATATTTTTCTAACAAACTAACTCTTCTCAGGTACATTTTACGAGGAAGCAGCCTTCCCAGGAGCTAGTGGAGGAAGCACTTTCAGCTCCATAGTTAAGATCCTATTTTACATTTGCACTCAAAGAAATTCACTCAACCTCTTACATATGAAAAAACATAACATCCTATCCAAACCAGAATTTATTCTGAATAGAGAAAATTTTTTCCGAAAAATTATAGCATCAGAGTTTGATTGTTTCTTCATAAAGTAAAAAACAAAACACAACAAAGAAACCCAACCTATATGTGAAACTCAGCACAGACCATTAATCTTTGCTGTCCTAAGATCTTAATGGATCAACACATATGCTCAAATTTTCTTATACAGCAAAAATTCATTTCAAAAACTTATGGGTTTTTTATCCGTTTTGTTTAATTTGGTTTGTTCTTTAACTATCAATGCTAACCTACCCCTCTATCTGCTTGGTAAAATGTTCTTCCACACCAAGCTCTGCCAAAATGTGCAATTTGATATCAGTCTCTTAACATCTGTCTAAGCACCGTTTTCTACCCCTCAACTCTGTGAATCACATATTTAAGTACTATCATTAAAATACACATTCATCTTACAATCTTCATTTGTATCAACAAAAATAATTCCCCACACCAAAATCAAAATAGCATCACCGCAACACTGACAAAGGTAGACAATTTACACTCCACCCCTTGTCCCTTCATCACAATTACAAAAAGAAAAAAGTCCCTACACTTATTCTGCTCTCTAGCCATGTTCAGCCCCCATTTTGTCCATTACCTCTCCCAACAATGTCCTTAACTCTAATTCCTCAAGCCTCACATTGGGCACCACAAAGGACTGTGGTGGGTTGATCTTGCCTAGCTGCCAGGTGCCCACTAAGCTGCTTTATCACACCTCCTCCTCAACAAGACAGGGAGAGAAAATACGATGGAAAGCTCATGGGGTTCAGATGAGGACAGGGAGTTCGTTTATCAACTACCATCACAGGCAAAACAGACTTGACTGAAGGAAATTAATGCAATTAATTGACAATTAATCAGAATAGGACCCCTCCCTTCTTCCCAGACTCAACTTCACTCACAACTCTTTTACCTCCTTCCCCCAAGTGGCACAGAGGGATGGGGGAACGACAGTTGCAGTCAGTTCCTAATGTTTTGTCTCTTGCTACTCCTTCCTCATGCTCTTCCTCTGCTCCTGTGTAAGATGCCTCCCATGGGGTACAGTTCTTCCTGAACTTCTCCAGTCCATCTCCTTCCCACAGGCTGTAGCTTTTCAAGAAGAGATCCAGCATAAGTCCTTTCCATGGGGTACAGTCCTGCAGGAACAGACTGCTCCATCATGGGTCCACCATGAGGTCACAGGTCCCGCCAGAAAACCTGCTTCTGCATGGGATCCTCTTCATGGACTATGGTTGCTGCCAGAAACCTGCTCCAGCGTGGGTTCTCCACAGGGTCACAGCTTCCTTCGGGGCATATCCACCTGCTCTGGCATGGGGTCCTCCACAGGCTACAGGGTAGATAATTGCTTCACTGTGGATCTCCATGGGCTGCAGAGGGATGACCTACATCATCATGGTCTTACATCACTGGCTTCAGGGGAATCTCTGCTCCAGTGCCTGGAGACCTCCACCCCTCCCTCTTCACTGAGCTTGGTGTCTGCAGAGTTGTTTTTCCCAGGTATTCTCACTCTTCTCTCCCAACTGCTGTTGTGCAGCATTTTCTTACTCTTTCTTAAATATATTACCACAGAGGCGCTACGACCATTTCTGATTGGCTGAGCTTTGGCCAGCAGCATGTCCATCTTGGAGCTGTCTGAAACTAGCTCTGTCTGATATGGGGGCAACTTCTGGTGACTTTTCACAGAAGCCACCTATGCAGCCCTCCCCACTACTCAAACCTTGCCATGTAAACCCAATGTCAACCCAATGCAGCACTAGATTTGTCAAGCCAAATGGCACATCAGTCACACCCAGACCAGTCATCTCTGATGGCTCTTAGTTACATCCATACTACGGTGAGTATGGATGTACTGTAGTGAGTACAGTGAAAAGCATGAGCTTAAAGCCCCTCATCCTCTGTTATGTACTCAACTTTCCTCATTGAGGAGAGCTATAGTAGAATCTGCCCACCCACAAGTAGATGGGATGTTCCAACAATCAACCTAAACTCAAGAATTGGCAAAAGCTTCAACACAGAACTGTAGTCTCACAGTAATATCAGGTTCATAAGCTGCCCCAAGGTTTCCATTTTGAGAAGAATATTAACTCCACACTACTCTAATTGGATTGAAGTACCTAACCACATATCCTAACATCAGGATACAACCATCTTTGCTATCTTCTTCCTCAACAAGGATACCAGTAAGCATTTCTACAGAGTCATGAGGCTATGAACTTGACCTACAGAGAACAGTGAGAAACACGAACCATTTTGGAAAAGCAATTTTTTTATTAATTTCTCTGAAGAATGAAGTTTTAATAAAAGTTTTACCTGGCTTATAATGATCTGAATTTTTAAAAATTTTATCAGTAACATAAGTAACTAAAGACAGAACTGACAATGGTGATCAATTTTTCAGATGGGGAATAGAAAGAAATAGAAGGATATGAAAGGCAAACAAAGAAATACAGTGACGAAACATTCAGGGGAAACAGGAAAATGAGGATGAAATACATACTCCAAGTGCTCACTGGAAACACACATTTAAACCAGTTTAATGAGCCACTAGGGTTAGCTCTCATAGAAAAGAAAAAGCATAGTGGAAGTCTGATTAAAATTTGTTAAAAATCTTATATTACTATGGGGTAGTTCCAGTGATTTCACAAAATGAAGCATTCTAACAATATGCACACATTCAAAGTGTCTAGAAGCTTTAAAAAATTTCCTAGAAAAAAATAAATTACATCAGACATTGTAGATCAACAAAGTAAAGTTCCCTCCATGAAACTAAAATAAATGATAGTTTCATTAGTGTCTTAAAATACTAAAAGAGAAAAAAAACCTCACACTTTGATTGTTTGGGGGTTTATTTTTATTCCCATCCCACTCCATTCTTCACCATGTTTTGGACTTCTTTCATATTTAACCTTATTTTGAATGCCTTACCATCAGAAATACTTGATGCCGAGCTAATTAAAGCCTGTGTATTTTAATGAAAAGTACTGATACATGTTCTGAAAACTTATTTCCACTTTCATGAGTTTTTTTGTTTGGAAATTTGTTATAGCTCTACTGCCTTGAAATCAGTGGCCAACCTGACAATTATAAGTACATCTACAACAACTGCATGAAAAATTTAAGTTTTGAAGAGTATTTTATTTACAATTTTGAGGTAAGAAGTTTAGTTTAAGTAAATCATATTTTTGAAATACACAGTGTAATCCCCAAGTATAAGGCTTTCAACAAGTTTAAAACCACAGTGTAAAGGAAATGACACTGCTCTGTATTGTTACGAAAATATAATACTCTGTATAAAGTCCTTTAAAAAATAAAAGAAACAAAACAGGAGAAGACATTTGCTTTCTTGTAAAGCTAAATAGTAAAAAGAACAAAAGAAGTCCCATTACCCGTGCTGGACTGAATCCAGTAGTGCTGGCAGTCAAGACTTCATATTGTGAATCGATAATGTTTTTAATCTTCAAATCCAAATCTTGTACAACTTCCTCTACTGCCTGACAGAAAGGATCCCCATTGCTTCGGCCTTTTATCAAATGCATCTTCACTGTTGACAGAATTTGCCCCCCTGCAACTCTGAAAATAGGCACAGGGTCATCTCTACATTAATCTTGGCAGCACTTTAGTATACCTATTAGTGTTCAACATAGCCAGTCCTCACAGTTAATCAAAACTCTTCAGAGAACAGCTTTGATCTTTTAAATCAAACAGCAGTGTAGAAGTATTGTCCAACATAATAGCTTGCTAAAAAAAAAATTATAAGGAAAGGTAATGAATTCAGCATTTAGTAATACTCTAAGCTGCAACACAAAACGAACTTCTCCATAAAAGTTGAAAGAAAAGTGACTTCTTTAAACCTACAGTTACTGTTTTCCTCATAAGCTGTTAAGTGCAAACAAAATATTTCACTGGAACAGGCATTCCAGCTTAACAGACTATTAGATTTTGAGTCTTTTGTGCTTCACGAAATTACTTCAAAATATCAATCCACTTTCAATTTTATTTAAATAGATAGTAATTAGACTAGATTAACATCACTGTTTGCCATAAAGGCACACACTATTAATCTCTTTTTTCATCGACTAGAAAAAATGCTTACAGAAAATAACTTAGCAGTTCAATTATGAAATGTCCATACAGTTTGACATCAAAAATATAAATGCTTGAATCTGATTGATATAGAGGCTTTATTTCAGCACTTCTTATAGAAAGATAAGACGACATTTGTGAGAACACCTTAACTATGTTAATTTCATTTCATGGTCCTGTATCTTGAACCATCTACATCACATGTATGATAGACAACTTTTGGGATCACATTTGGATTAGAACTACCAGGTCTCTCCCCAGAAAAACTCTTGAGTGATTAGCAGCTACAGTTGTACAGATGATGCTCCAACATGCAGTACTGAGAGAACTACACCATGTCTGATTCCCTCACACTCGCAAGATCCACGTATTCTATAAAAATGGAAGTATAACAGGTTGCCAGGTAGACCCCATTATCCTGAGTAGGTAAGAAAAAAAAACGATCACTTATTGAAGAATCACAAGAAAATCTGAACATTTGTGTCCAAAAAATGTCTACAGGGACTGAGGCTCTTGCAACAGTGCAAGATTTACCCCAGATCTGGTGAATGAGAAGAAGCAGTTACAATTCCAAGAATTCCACTGGCCATTTATAAGTGCATCCTTCCACCCAGGGGCTCAAAATGCTGCCCTGAACAATGCTGCTCAAAATTAATAAAATAACTTCCAGCTTATAATGAGAGTGAGCATAGTCCCACCACAAGAACAGAAAATTCAAGTGTTAGGAGTGAATTGCTCATTTTTCAATGCAAGTGCAATGTGTAATCAGTAGGTACAAAAGCCATATGGAGGTATGAAGGTTAAGAATTGCTAGTCATGAGGCACTACTACAAACTAAAACTATGAACCAGGTTAAGTAAATTAGCTAGAGGATCACAGATCTCTTCTCAGAGATGATAAAAAACTGTATTGAGACAGCAAATGTGTCTTGACTATTTTAATGAAGATTTAGTGAAAGACAGAATAAAACCCTTGAGTTAAAAAACTAATAATTTTGCCCAGCACCTACACAAAACAGTAAGTGAAAGACTATGTTTTACCATTGCTTGAGTTTGGGCAAATAAAAAGAGCATTACAAGAACCACTCAGCTCTCCTACATCATAATGCATATCTTCCCAAAAGCTTTTTGAAGTTGCATGCTGTTTGGAAACTATCATCAATTCTCCAGTCTTCCCAGAACATGAACCCATCATCCAGACCAACAAAGTTTACTATAATCAAGATTGCACTCAACCCAACAGGCACTGATTTATCTTCTGTTTAACATCACATACATATAAGGACTTCACTATTTCCCGATGACATTTAGTTTTCAATTTAATTCTCTTTCTGCTTATTTTCCTCAACCTTTTCAGAGTGTGGCAACCTATATTTTATTTTTAGCTCTAATTTATAGATTTTTTTTTTTTAAGCCCTGATTCCCCTGCTTTTACTTTTTCAGATACAGAGGTATTTTCACCTTTGAATAACAGCTGACAATGCATGTAAGAATAAAGGGAGAAACAAAATCATAACAAGAGGCACAAAGGACCCATTCCCTTTTTAAAAACAAAACCAAAAAAACCCACCAAAAACCCAAGTCCCAGGAGAAACAGGTAGAACAGTGTGCCAAAAATACCCTGAACTGAAATCAGAGATTCAGACAGCACTCAGGAGAAGTATCATAAACATTTTCTCTGTTCTTACAGGGCACGTATTTATTGCCAGTGTTGGAGACAAGATCCTATACTTGTGGACCCTTCTTTTGAAGATTTACAACCACATTTCATATCCACAAAGTGACATAGATTCTCTGTAGTGACAGCAGTGACTCAAAAAATTAAATGAAAACAAGTAAAAACCCCCAGCTTTCCTCACCAGGCTTTTGACAAAAAATTTTCAAGGAATCTAGATATGCTTACAATGTTAAGTTCAGCTATGAGACTGATTTCCTGACAGATTTTTTTTTTTTAAGTCTTATAAAGCCTAACTATAATGTCAGGCAAAAGCAAGAAAAGCAATTCTGTTTGTTCTGAACTCCTGCTCTAAGTATTTTTCTTTTGTAGTCAATCTGCTTCATGATCTATTGCAACAATCCATCTTCCCTTTCCAATTAATCTACAGTTTCTTTTTACAGACTTAAGAACCACTAGCCACTTTCCTGCAACATTTAATAATTGGATAAAAATTGAATAATAATTATATAGGATAGCCAACCCTAAAAAAGGGTAGCCTGTTAAATCATGCCTTTAACAGCAGAATTATTGAAGCTTCACCTTTTAAAAAAATTTTTTCCTAAGAATTACCTTTATAGTCCAAATCAAAGCAGACATGCAGCATGTTGAGTATAACCTAACATCAGTCTATCTAGCACAGACACTAATAGTTTTAACTATCATGAACTGTATAAAATCACTGCATACCTAGTCACACGCCATGAACTCTTGAGTTGCTATTGGCATCTGCAGCAGAATTTTTAGATACATCTATGATGCTGCAAATCACAGTTCTGCCAAAAAAAAAAAAATACAACCCCAAAGCAGTGGCAATGGCTTTATTACTCCAGGTGACATAGCCAAGAGTGAGATGACTCCAACTGACTCCATGCTTACTGGCTTCCTTCATGCTCCTGACTACTTACCCTAAAAGGATACCTTTCAAATTGAAAGAAAGGTTTATTTTGTACACATTAAATTCTGAAGATTAATTTTAGAATTCTAGTTGGGAGAACCTCCATCAAACGAAACTGTGTGTCTACACTCATAAAACATGAAGTAAGTGGGCAGGGATAGGTAAGAACAGAAATTGAGTCAGAGGAAAACTACTTTGTTTATATTGTTTCCTGTTAAAATACAGGGAGGGAACTGGGCCAGAGATCTTGCTGTTTTGGCTTACTCTGGCTGAACAAGACTCCCATAAATAACTTAGAAAACCTGAAGTGAACTTGAAACTTCTTTTGACTTTTTTCCAGGTCAAAACCAAATATTTTCACACAATCCTCGGTTTTAACTTTTCTAGATTAAAGATTATTTGATTCACACTAAATTTTCAGGCTTGGTTAAACAGAAAAACTTGTGCTTTGCAGAAATTTAAGCACAATGTATGCACTTAGCCAAAAGAAAAGTCACCATGTGAAGAACCATCCAGATCTTAGAAAGGACAGTTTCAAAAAATTTTATGGCTTTGTGTGGTGGGTTTTGTTTGGTAGCAGGGGAAGGGCGAGAAGTGATGGCTCCCGCAACTAACTGTTAAATTTTGCCCAGCTCCAGGCCGGACCCACCTCTGGCCAAGGCTGAGCCCATCAGCACCTCTGCAAATGACACATTTAAGAGAGGGCCACAGTGCATGAAGTAGAGGTGTGGCCCCCAGGCAGGGCCCAGACAGTCCATCTCACCAGTCAGCTGCCTGCCAGCTGCCTGCTCAGCCCCCAACATGGCCCAGCCAACCCAGCACAGCCCCCGTCCGAGAGCCGGGAGTTCCTCAGGAGACAGAGAAAGAACCTGCAGCAGAGAGAGGAGCAGGGTGTGAGAGAGACAACTGCACAGACACAAAGGTTGGTGAAGAGAAGAGAGAGGGAGGAGGTGCCGGAGCAGAGATTCCCCCGCAGCCCGTGGTGAAGAGCTGGTGATGCACGTTGTCCCCGTGCAGCCCATGGAGAGCAGAGCTCGCCTGCAGCTCATGGAGATGGAGCCGTGGAGGGCCCCACGCTGGAAGAAGGAACTGTGCCCGAAGGAGGCCGTGAATATGTGGAAGAGCCCCATGCTGGAGCAGTTAGAGGAGAACTGCAGCCCGTAGGAAGGACTCAAAGGACTCATTTTGGAGCAGTTTGTGAAGGACTCTCCCGTGAGAGGGACCCCACGCTGGAGCAGGGAGGACTGTGAGGAGCCTCCCCTGAGGAGGAAGGAGCGGCGGAGACAACACAGGATGGACTGACCGCAACCCCCATTCCCTGCCCCCTGCGCTGCTGGGTAGGGAAAAGGTAGAGAAATTGGGAACAAAACTTTTGGGACTGGGAAGAAGGGCGGGGTGGGGAAGAGGTGACTTTTTAAGATGTAGTTCTCTTTGTCATTATCTTGCTCTGGTTTTGACTGTTAACAAATTAAATTGGTTTTGTGTTTTCCCAAGTCAAGTCTGTTTCTTGCCCATGACCATAAGTGGTGAGTGAACCCTCCCTGTCCTCCCCTCAGCCCACCAGGTTGCTAGCAGGAGGCCTCCATGCTGCCATGGTGCTTAGTTTGCAGGGTGGCCTTAAACCATGATTTAAAAACAAAACAAAAAAAAACCCAAAAAAGTTAAAAGGATGCTGGTGTATCTCTGCTCCAAAAAACCACAATTCAGTCTAACCACAGAAGAACGAAAAGTTCAAGGTGGGGCCGGGGGGGAAGGGGAGAAATCATCCAGTGCAAGTTGTCAAAAGGTAAGAAGAGATCACTGCTGAAGAAAGGTCCTGTCTCAGAGATGCATATAGGAACTGTAGCCAGGTCTCCTGCTGCTTCTTGACAAACCG